AAAAAAAAAAAAAAAAACTCTTGATTATAGAAAATATTTAGTTTTTTGACAATCACTAAATCAAAGTTGTTCAATTATTATGAAAAAAATTAAATTCTAAAAATATGTGTACATATTTGATAATATATTTATACATAATATTTTATTTAAATTTATTTACATAATTTTAAATTAATTACATAATATTTATGTGCATTAAATATTTTTTATTACATAAAATAAATTAAGAAGACTACTTATATGATTTTTACAGATAATAATGACATTATATGACAACGAATTTTAGAATGAAATAATAATTGAGTTATATGGTTAACAATAATATGTAAAACTATTATTATTTCTCATATCAAGAAATAAATATATATCTCAAATTTATATTAGTATAAACGTGCTAGCGGATAATATATCAATTTTTTTTTTCCAAATGATAGATAATCTCCATAGCACACAGATAAAACCACAATGTTTAGAAACAGACCAATAAATAAACAGCCGAAGACATAAGCCAGGAATCACTACCACAAGGGAAACCTAACCAAATCATAAAACACAAATAAAACCACAGGGGATAATATATTAATTAACTCACAGATTAGTTAAAGTTTAACGTTCTCTCTACTAAAACATCATTGATTAAAAGAGGTGGAAAAGACTCGTTTAACATCTCAGTTCGTGCCTCATCTAATATCTCAGTCCCACGCATCGTACACGCTATATACTAATTTGTGTTAAAATATAAGAGAATGTTAATAATCGTTGGTTGTGTTTGTTTATAAATTTTTTCAATTCATACTTAAAATATAGCTCAACTTTAACCAAATACTAATATTCTCAATATTATCAGTATAATTAAATAATATCACCCAGTCATTCTTACACATTACATCAACTTTAATTCAATATTCATCAACTCACATAATTTTAACTAACATTATGTCTCCTATTTTTGGGTTAAATTAATTTAAATTATTTTATCATAATAATATCACATTATCATTTTTACACATTACATCAACTTTAATTCACTATTTATCAATAATTTTAATCACATTATCTCTCTCCTATTTTGAGTTAAATTAATTTTAATCATTTTATTTTAAATACTTTTTAATTTAAATTTAAATTTCACTCACAACTAAACGTAACATATTTTTCAAAATTAACTTTGATAAAAAAAAAAAAAAAAAACTTATTTTGAGCTGATATATTTGTATCCAAGCATTACAATTTATACCAAAAGATCCATGGCATCAATATTTTATTAAAAAAAACAAACAAACAAAACAGTGTGGAAGGCGGGAACACGAATCCAAAATAGGTTGTGAAGCACACGACTCGCAATTTTATAATAGAAATTAGATAGAAATTTGAAATCAGAAAACCCAAAACCCAAAAGGGCTTTATACAGGAAAAGAACTGAAAGAGAAGGAAGAATTAGTTCTGCTCAATTGCTCACAAGCTTTTAAATTTTCAATCACCATTGTTACGGTCACATTTTCTCCTTTATTTCCATATAAAGGCAACCGGCCAACCCCATTGGCCTGGAGCTGTTTCTTTTTGTTTTTGTTTTTGGTTTTGTTCCCTTTCGCATTAATTGTTCAGGAATGTCCCGGAGAAAATAGTTGGGTAAATTAGGAAGGTCGAAGTGCAAACGACAATGGGGTTTTGAAATTCGAGCCGCGGAGAAAGAGGAGCTTTGGATACACACAGGTTTTATCCTACGTTATGTGTATTTTTTTTTTAGGGTTTTTTAATTCAGTTGAGAAATAAAGATTTATTTTGGTACAATACTATTATTATTGCGTTTTCTTTGTTTCCCCTTTTTGGTACAAACTATTGAAGCCTTTTGTGTGTGTGTGGGTGGGTGGGGTGGGGGGTTATGTGGGGTTTGGGGGTTTTGAATTTGAATTGCGAAGAACCAAAATGTTTTTTTTATTTTGATTCATTACAAAAACCCAATTTGTTTGGCAGTATAAATTTTCGAACTTTTGATGGTTTGGGAGTTTGTAATGGATTTTCATGTTACTAGCAGCTGGGTTTACATTTCTTGTTATTTATCATTGCAATTGATTGCCTCCGCGGTCACGATGGAATGGGAATTCCACTACAAACCAGTATGCAAAGCCTGGAAAGAGTATGCAATGCATTTGATATAGCTAAACAAAGTTGGGTATTCAAGTGATATGAATTGGTCATGGTTTATCTTTTGTCATTTGAAATCATTGTGGTGTCTGGTTGTGTTTGATTTTTCGACCCACCATCTAAATGATGAGTGTTGTCCTTCTTCAGACCTTTATTGTTTGTGATCCTCCTAGAAATCCTAGGCAGACTTGTTCATTCTTGCCTGTTGTGAAATATAAGCTGGAAAAAATGCATAGATATCTGGTGGGCATAAACAAGTCGGTTATATGTATGCCAGATGAAACTACTGTTCTTTTTGTGTATTTAAGATACTTTAAGGTTCCACGTTTCCAATCATGTTTCCCCTTTATCCATAGTTGATGTCTTTTATGCCCTCAATCGGTCATCTAGATTCCTATTAGTTAATAAAATGGTTCCAAAAAATATCTTTTAATGCCATGATGGCATTAATAAATTAAATAGCATAATGTCTTACTTCTCTAGATTTCCATTAAGGAAAAAAAATTGGTTCCAAAAAATATTCTTAAGGCCATGATATGATCTAAAGTGATAGCTGATTCTGGCATTAATAAAATAAATAACAAAATGACTTACTTCCTTAGCCCTAAATATGGAATCACATGTTACAACAATGACTATTGAGTGTGGTTGATAATTTGTCAAGTGTGAGATGTGATTTATTGATCAGCATTTCATTTGATTAAACGAGCTTTATTTGAATAATAAATTTTTTTCTGTACATTGCAACTATACAGGCATCAACTGTCAATTTGGAATGGATCCACAGTACGATGCTCATGTGAGTGAAAACGGGGAGTTGGGTGGTTTAAGTGAAGTTCGTAATGGCAGCATTTCTGGCAGGATAGAAGATTTCAATTGTCTTGCTGGAGGTAAAACCATCTATTGTGTTCCCTTTATATTGACCTTCTGAAATGTTATATCTCTCTTTCTCTGACCAGAAAAGGAAAAATAGAAAAAAAGAAAAAAATCTCCACTTACATATCATACTCTACATGTTCCACTAGTCTACCTGCTACATGACCTCAAGGAAAATTAAGTAGCTGGTTTGATGAAAGTATAATACTTCAAGTCTGCTAAATTTAGCATAAAGTACTGTAGTCCTCCAGTCTCCAGAGTCTAGTCAAATTTACCTGTAGCTTCATTAACAACTTCCCGGTAGCTAAGTTTCAGTACGTGACATGTTTCACATGAAATGTTATCTCCCTATATGTTGAGCAATACACCCATCAATATGAGGAAAAGTTGCTGTAGGATGAGAATTTTTCTCTTCAATCATTTTATTCTGTTTCTGTATGAAACCTCACTTTAATCTGTTGTGGATAATGGCTAGTTCATATAATGCTCTTATTCGGTGGATGCTAGTAACTTGGTTTCTGTATTTTATATGTGATGACCTCTCAAGCTGAATGTTGCATTTATTGATCTGTCTGAATGTGGCATTTATTGATCATGTAGGGAATAACATTTCTGATGTCCTCCAATTAAAGACTGGTTACCATGGAGATGTCCATGCTTCTAAGATTGCCGAGCTAATGAATTCGAGCAAGTTAGAGGTATCTGTTCCATCACCCCAGAAAAATAAAACCTAGACTAAAACGTCACTTCTTGACTTATTTCTTTCACTTGACGTGTTTGTATGCTTTAAATTGCTCTTTCTTATGCAGAATGCCTCTATGCACTCACTTTTTGGTGTTGTCAATAAAATTCTGAATGAAAGCACTGAGAGAAATGGGGGCATAACTCAGGTACATGACTATGCGAGCAAAGTTTGAATATATCATCATATTGAAGTTTAGCGAGTATTTCTTCTCATCTTAGCTCACTGATTCTGAATGGTATTTTGATTGTTGTGTTGTGGTACTATATTTCCACTTAGCATGTCGCATCTGTGCTGAAATTAGTCGTGCAAGAAATCGAGCATCGAGTTTCAAAACATGCAGACAATATGAGGAAGGTGACACATTATCTGTTGTTACTTGTTAAATAAACGTATTTTCCTCCCATGTAGGCTGTAGAACTTCTAAATTCCATCATGGTATTATGCAGCAAAGCAGTCTGTACAAGGCTCGTGAAGACAGGTACCATACAATGATAAGAGCTTTAGAATCTCTTGCAAGCGGAACCAGTGAAGAAAATAAGGTATGGTGGTGGTAATGTATTTTAGATGTGGATTTTTATGTATTCCATTTTTATTGCCTTGTTAAGTTTTAATTTTGTTGTTCGTTGCAGGTTATCATGAACCAGCTTCAAAAGATGAAGGTAAATTGCTTAATGAAGAGAATAAGTCTTTAATCGAAAATGAGTTATGTTGTTTTAATGTTATGAAGTAACAACAATGGGAGACTGATTACGGAGGAAACTTATATTGCAAGTTGGTCCACTTTTTGTTTTCCCTAATAAACAAGTTGCTCTGTGCTTGCACTTAACTTCCTTTCTTCAGAAACAATATATCATCAGTTCTTGACATTTATCTAATTGCTTGATTATAGGCCAAGCTGCATTATTGCGAATAACTTACTTTAGAATATTGCTTCCTCATGTTATGTAAAATTACTTTTCAAACTCAGTTAAGATTCATTTTGATGTAGTTTGTTTCATGTGGCATAATGACTTGTTTTGACTAATGATCACATAGGAATGTTCTAAAAGTTGATAAGTGGTGGATTGGGGCCTAGCGCCTAGGGCACCTATGCGGGGTTGTGACAATATTAATAAATTTATTTATATTTATTTATATTTAGCATCATGTGTAATTTATAAGATATATAATATGAAGTATTAATTAATATGGTCAAACACAAAGATTATCCAAAAACTAATGCATTCATTATTATGCATCAATTTTAATATGATTGTTAATATTTTTTATTATATAATTAATGTAAATTTCATGCATAAATCTTTTTATCTTTTGTAAATAAATTAATAAACTTGAAATAAAAAATGTACGGGCCACTAAGGCGCTCGCCTAGGCTTGAGTAACTTTGCAACGGCCTAGCCCGCCCAGGCACCGCCTAGTCTCGTCTGAGCGCCTAGAACGACCGCCTAGGCAAAACTTGTGGCGCCTAGGACGTTTTTTAGTACAAAGCATAGGAGTATTGCCATTTTAATTATTTAATATCTCAATCAGGAAGCTTTTATTTACACTCGTGGTAGGCGATGATATCGATTTCTGATATAGTAGTTATATTTTAGGCTATTTGTTAACATGTACACTACTGATTTTTATTGTTGTCACTGCTAATTATTATAACAAAAAGATATGCTGATACATGTGTTGCTTGATGATTGTTTTATTAGTATTCCTTTTTGGCTTTATCCATGATTTATGTCTGGCCAGGCTGAGAAGACTAAAAATGAGGAGGAGAAGAAGCTTGAACAGCAGAATCTAATTAAATTGAAGAAAGAAAAGGACTGCTGCGTGAGTCAAATTCTGTCGCTTACCGAAGAGCTTGCATTAGCCAAAAAGTCGTATGCGGAGAATCGTTTTCAATTGGAAGCTAAGGCTGAGGACACAAAAGAAAAGCTACAAAATAAGATATTGGAACTTGAATGCCTTTTGGCTGATTCAAGTAAGAAGGTTGACGAGCTCGAGGAATTTTCAAACTCAAAATTTTTGCGATGGAAAATAAAAGAACAGGGTTACAGGCACTTCATTGATTCTCAATCTGGATCCATGCAGGTGCGTACTTAAAACTTTACTAGCTTACTTCTAGCTCTGGACGCCATTACTGATGCATTCATTTATGAATTTTGACCAGGAACTAAGATCAGCTTCTGAGTCCATAAAGGAAGAGGTTTCAAAGATCAAGGATTCCTATGCTGAAGAGTTTTATCATTTTGGTTGGGATATTGGAACCTTTCAACTTCTGAGACCAGTTAACTTCCATGTTACTCAACTTTGTTTTGTTGGCATTGGTCAGGTTTAAATCTCAAAGGCTTGATCGATGCTGCACAAAGTTATCATAGTGTTCTTGAAGAAAATCGGAAATTATATAATGAGGTCCAAGATTTGAAAGGTCAGTAACTTCCATATGGTCAATAACTTAATATTTTCAGCAAATATATTTGCTCATCTGTATTGTTTTTTCTCCTAGGAAACATAAGAGTTTATTGTCGCATTAGGCCATTTCTCGCGGGACAAAATAGAAAACAAACAACCATACAATGTATTGGTGACAATGGAGAATTGGTTGTCATCAACCCCTCAAAACCAGGAAAAGATGGTCACCGTTTTTTCAAATTCAACAAGGTCTTTAGTCCTGCAGCTACCCAAGGTTTCTATTCCGACTGGAGTTTTAATAACAAATTTCCTGTTTGATGTATTGTCACTTACATGTTCTCTCTCTCTCTCTCTATATATATATATATATACATATATATATAAATATATATATATATATATATACACACTTATAAATACATATGTCTACCTTTTTGTATCTTTCTTTCAACTGTTATGTTACTTGCTGAAATCCTTTGTCTGCAGAGGATGTCTTCCGAGACACTCAGCCATTGATCAGGTCCATCCTTGATGGGTATAATGTCTGCATATTTGCTTATGGTCAAACTGGTTCAGGGAAAACTTACACAATGGTAAGATATAGTTCTAAATTTAGTTGAGAGTTGTCTTCACCTTCTTACGATGCTAATACTAATAAAAAATATTTCCAGACTGGACCGAATGTGTCGTCTGTAGTGGACTGGGGAGTCAATTACAGAGCTTTGAATGATCTCTTCAACATCTCCCAGACAAGACGTAGCTCCATTGAGTACGAAATTTGTGTCCAAATGGTTGAAATATATAACGAACAAGTGCGAGACTTACTCTGTAATCACAGTTCTCAGAAGAGATATCCTTTTAAATTCTCTTTATGTCCTTGTGTTTGTCCAACATGCCTTTTCCTATAGTGAGTGGGTGCATGTGTGTTCTATTTGATTGGAAAGGTAGAACTTGTCATTGTTTTCTTTGACTTTCGCACACTTGGGATCTGGAGTACCTCCCAACCAAATGGTTTGGCTGTGCCTGATGCTAGCTTGCATCCTGTAAAATCAACCTCCGATGTGTTAGAGCTGATGAATGTTGGCTTAACGAATCGGGCTGTTGGTGCCACTGCTCTAAATGAAAGAAGTAGCCGGTCCCACAGGTTTCCAATGTTATTTATTTATTTATTTATTATTTTCAGTTTAATGATCTCAACAATGTTTTGCTTAGAGGACTAACCTTGATTTACCTCCTATGAGACAGTATCCTTACTGTTCACGTCCGAGGATTGGATTTAGAAACAAATGCTGTTTTACGTGGCTGTCTTCATTTAGTTGATCTGGCTGGTAGTGAAAGAGTCGACCGGTCTGAAGCAACAGGCGATAGATTGCGTGAAGCACAACATATAAACAAATCCCTATCGGCTTTGGGGGATGTTATTTTTGCTCTGGCTCAGAAAAGTACTCATGTGCCGTACAGGAATAGTAAATTAACTCAAGTACTTCAGAGCTCTTTAGGTGATTAGTCCGACTTGGGGCATTAAATAGACATTTTTCAACTGAAAGTGAAGACATATTTTTCAATTTTTTTTTGATTGATCTGTCAATCTTGAGTCCTCATGCCTCTCTCTTGGCTTATGTTGCAGGTGGCCAAGCAAAAACTCTAATGTTTGTACAGCTCAATCCTGATGTAGAGTCCTTCTCAGAGACTATAAGTACCTTAAAGTTTGCTGAGAGAGTTTCTGGTGTTGAATTGGGTGCAGCACGAAGTAACAAAGAAAGTAGGGGTGTCAGAGAACTTATGGAACAGGTTATGAATGTGAATTGTTTTCTCTACACCTTCCTTTTTCCCCTTTTAGATGAAGTATGCTATTTTGAGTTTTGAAGTATCATCTTACTTGGGACACCGATCTCTTTTCAATTGCTTGGTTCAAATTTTGTACTGTCTTGTGCTAATTGTGACTTTTGATGTCTTTGGTTGAATCCTTCTGGTTTTGGCTGCATCCGACTTCTTGAGATTCGTTACATCAGGATTCTAGAAATATGTTTAGCGGAAGCCTTTATTCATTAATCAATACATATATAAGTTCTTGTATAAAATGTCTTGTTCTCAAGCTACCCACTAATAAAATACAAAAATCAGGAAGGGCACCATGCAGTGCTTCTCAAAACTCTAATTGTGACTTTTAAGTTTTTCTTGTCAACTAGAGCTGCTGGTGTTAAATCCTGTGTATATTTTACTTGACATTCTTTCGTTTCTTGTCCTAAAAGGTTATGTCTGAAAAGCTAGGACATTCAATTAGAACACATCAACACACGAGAAAACAAAGCCAAATCCTCAAACCTCGTGCTAGTCTTGCAGGTAGCTTCCCTAAAAGACACCGTTGCAAAGAAGGATGAAGAGATCGAGCAGTTCCGGTCACACACAACAAACGGAAGCACCGAACGACTCGTTGATCTGACCTCGGCAGGGTTCAGATCATCTGCATCTCCAAGAAGGCATTCCATAGGCGGGGTCTGCCCAACCCAGACCCAGAGGCCCTCGGCTGGGAAAGTCGCTTCTGATAGAGCTGCCTCCGATCCGGACAACAGCTCTGAGTACAGTGACAAGCACTCTGAAGTTGGGTCCTATCAGTCGATGGATGAGTTAAAGCACCACAAAGACTTCTTCCGGCAGTCCAGGCTTGCTGCTGTTGGTGGTGAGAATTTTCTGGAAGACAATGGTTTGATGTTTGAAGTTGCTGGTCAAAATGGTCTGAATGAGGATGTTGAGCTTTTGGGGTTGGGAGATGGTGATTTGGATGACAGGCTCAGTGATATTTCAGATGGAGTTCTTTCTATGAGGACCGTGACAGACTGTTCTATTAACAGTATTGTCGAGTACACGCTTTTCCCTGAGACAGCCAAGCCACCTCCAGAGATACTCGAAAAGTGAGGCTTTTTTTTAAACAATATATATATATATATATATAATATTCGAAAATGTTCTGCTTACTGATCATTTTTTAGTCTTGAGTTTTCAAATCTTGTTCAGTAGGCTGGTTAATATTCATGCATGCAACACTTAAATTCTTCAGTTAGTTATTATGGTTTCTTGAGCTTTTGTTGCCTTTTTTCTTGGTTGAATTCAGGCCTAATGTGCCAGCTAAAATTCCAAGACCACCAAAGCAGGGTCCAGCGCTAACTTCCCGGTCATCCCTGAGCAAAAGCACCTCTAAAATTCCAAGTACGGGACACTTTCTTGTTTCTTGAAATTTCATATCTGAAGCGAATTCTTTTTTATTTTTTGCTACTTGTTTTTTTCTGTATCTTTTTTTTTTTTTTTTTTTTTTTTTTTTTTTTTTTTTTTTTTTTTTT